CCAAATGCCATGAAGTCAAATCTGCTTAATAATAATACTAAGATGTTTTAATTTCTAAAATGGTAAAAACAGATATAACCCACACACATGAAACTTTTAAAGAGCATTCAATTTTTAGAAGACTAAAGGAATCTTCTGGTTAGTCTAATAAAAGGAGATGCAATAGCTCATGAGCTATGGATGCTGGATGAATGGATGCTGATCCATAAAGTGATTCAAACTGAGAGTGCCTTTGCTGGGGTCCACATGGAAGGATAAAATTTGGGGGTTACATGAAGGGAAGTAATACTTCCTTGCTATTAGCAAAGCCATTGCAAATGACATCAAATCTTTTCATGACAACATACAAAACAAGATTTTGAGTTTCATCCATTCCTAATGTTCTCTGCTCTGATTATAAATAATTGCTTTAATTTGCACAGTTCAGTTTCAAATAAGATTCTTTCTACATTAACTTTATTTATGACAGGCTCCCCACAACTAGTGGATGTTCTTATTCTTTTTTCATTAAATATGTGAAAATTACATGTGGGGAACAATTCAAGAGAAGATGGGGAACACTGATCAACCTGGTTATTTTTATACCAAGTCATGAAGCCTCTTCCCTAGATAAGGTAGCCTCAAATGCCAAAATGGTGAATATCTTCTGTCTATTGGAAGAACAGAGTTAAGAAAATAGTTGTGATCTCAGGAGCTCTGAAGCCAATACATTCCTAAGGCACATAAAACTGTTGGTAGAAAAGTCTCAAGGAATCAGATCAATACTATAAGCTATGTATGGCAGAAAAGCAACTTGAGGTTAGAAGGGAAGACCAAATGATTCATCAACAGCATTTGATGTTAAATGCTAAACCCAGCCCTATTACTACTGATCTCTATATTCAATAGTTCTATGAAGCTTATTCCATAGGGGCTCCATATGTCTAGTGAAAGTGAATTGGTTAACTTCAATCTCTACCAACCTTGAACTGGAATTTTTTTTTCCTTTTTACACTTTGAGTTTCCTGAGGACAGAAGCATTAATATCAAATTGCAACTCATTCCTTAACCTGCCTTCAAAGCATGAACTAACTCATACACCACAGTGAACAGGAAAAAAGAAACGTAATCATTGAGGACCAATGGGATGAGTTAAGAAAGGTTCATCATCCAAAACAACATTAGCAGGAGTCAATATCAATCTACCAATAAATGTTCATTTAGCAACTACTATGTGCCAAGTACCATGCAAGGTCTACAGATAAAAATGAGGCAAAAGACATTCCCAGCCATCAAGATGCTTACAGTCTAATAGACTAAAGAACTAAAAGGAAAATGGCAGAAAAAACATGCTTGCCCTGCAGTTAAGAGTCACCCAGTTTTGAATCCTACCTTCACTACTTATCAGAGGTGTAAATGTGGACAAATCATTTAATCTCTTATGAATATGCTTTGTGAACCTTAAAACACAAAATATATGTCAATAATCATTAACTTTTGAAGTGAATTCTGTGTTTCCTTGTCTTCTATGAAACATCTATGGTAGTTCTCTATGAATCATGAAAAACTCCATCTTAGTTCCTTCTGCTAGATTCAGTATAAATTGGGAGTGAGACCTAGAGCTTCATCATGGCTTCCATCTCACTTGAGCCAATCATTTCTCATAGAGGACCACGAGATTAAATTTTATTTTATTCAGAAAGTGAAAGCAGAGGGGGGAAATTGTAGTAAGGTTTGGATGGATATGTCCTAGTGTTATTCACTCCTCGAGAGGGAGGAAGAATATCAGAGATAGGATTTTATCTATTTAGAATCCATCCCTTATGACATCATTTAGAATTATAATCTCAATAGCAAAATTTCCAAGATTAATACAATTGCAGAAGTTAGAATGGAGTCCTCCCCTCCTAGCTGCATTGTTTCTCACTTTGGTAGCTTAAGGACATCATGACCACTGTATTAAAAAACAACACTGTGAAAACAGATGGATACTGAGGATTCAAAAAATATTAATCCACCATTAACTGATGTTCCTTAGTTCATACGGAACTTTCACAGCCATTTAGGTAGAGCCCTGAGAGGAGGAGCTGGTTAAGATTATTGCAGCCTGCCAAATCAATGAAATAGAAATCCTCTATTTATTGTCTCCAAGAGTTGGTCATCTGGCCTTCTCTTGAACATCTCCAGTGATGGAGAATGCAATGGGAATGTAATGTGAGTGTCCCTATTAATTCTCATAATAAAAATGCAAGCTTTTTTTCCTTTAAGTCTATCATTATAAAAATGCCTTCATAATTTCCAAAATTTTCTTATCTTTAATAGAGTCTTGGAAGAAACTTTCCCCAGTCCTCCAGGTCTATATGTCTGACAGTCTTCTAACTAGCCAGAGATGGACAAGAATACCCAGATCAACACTAGCAATAGGACACCAGAGCTTTGTCCTGAGTCCTAACATTCAAAAGGCACATGTTTCTTTCTTTTTTAAATAGAAATATTTACCAATCAACCTACTTGCTCATGTCCCTACACAAAAGTGAGTGCATCTTCCAGGGTAACCCAGGGTACCTTGATCACCACAGCTTTATATAGGATTTATCTGCAGAAACAATGGTATCTCAATGTCCAGTCAGGACAGATGACTCAAATATCCGTGAACATGTTTACAGAAGAGATTAGCAGCTCACAAAGTGCTATCAGCTAGTGTTAACCTATCCCTCAGTCTTCACAGTTCTTCCCTTTTCACTGTGCACTCTAGAACTCTTCTCTATTATTAATAAATTCCCTTTCAAGTTTAATCTTTCTTATCATACTTCTTCAATTATCTAGTGCTTACTGAAACCTCTCATTCTCCTGAAGACACACTATCTTTGGACATCCTTTTCAAGAATTTAAGTGCCTTCTCACACACCTTCTAACACAGGATCAGGAGGAGAATTCAATATATTCTTTGCTTGGCCCTGCCACCTCCAGACTTTCAGTCAATTCCTACCAGTTGGCACCTGTCATATTGAATACTTGTTGGGGTCAACTATGGACCTCTAGTTCCCTTTATGCCTTCTCCAATAAGTTCAGTGCCTCACTTTTGCACTTCTTTTCTACCACTTCTCATCCCTCCCTTGAGACCTCAGGCCTGCCAGTTATTCAACTTCCACATTACTATGACTTCTGAATTGAAGTTACTTCAATCATGAAAAATATTAGTCTTTACTTAGATACTGCCCAAGATTTCCAACCCTCAACTCAAATTGGGTCCAGACACCAGAATTCCTAGATAAAGCACTGAGATCATGACCTGAAAAGATCATTGTGCACACGGAGGAAAATATAACAGAAAGAATTGAAGACACAAGGAAAATATCAATGACTTCTTCCCAGAAAGGGGGGATCCCTTATGAGGTAAGTCCCTGCAGAAGCCATTATCTGTGAATTACTAATGAGGTCCCAGGAAGCTTATAAACAACCATAAAAACCTCGTTACATCATCAGAAGCTCCATTGACACTGATAAACTGCTTTTTTCTCTATGACTGAAGAGCACACTCTGGATAAAATCACAATTTGAAATAATTATCTTTAGATCAAATCAATTACCATAGCATTGCAGAGACTAAGTGCTTTGCCTTAATTCGCATCAACATTAAAAGAATTAGAAGGCTCTATGCCAGGCCCATAATAACTTTCACAGAAGACATTTACCAGCCAAGACTCTGCGAGTGAAGAGACTCAAAGATCCAATGCAGAAGGGTGAGAATTTGATTAATTTGACATTATTCTACCTTCTAAATAGAGATTCATGGAACCTCAGGTCTTTGCAAAGACCATTAATACTCCATATTCCATTATACCCATCTCTAACAATGGGATGGGCCTGATAAAAATAGACGGACTTTGGAGGTATAAGTGACTACAGCTCAGAATTATAGTATTGCAGAATTTTAGAGTTGCAAGAAACTTTCCATCTAGTCCAAACCATACCCCACAACCTCCCCCCACAATACCCATTACAGCATTGGTGTTCATCCAGCCTCTGCTTAAAGATATGTGCTGAATGGAAACTCACTCCTGCACAGGTCGCTTTGGATTCTGTATTGTTGTTATGGATTTCATCCTCACATGAAGCTTAAATTTTCCCCTTTGCAACTTCCATGCATTGCTCATAGGCACAAACTGAACATGTTGGATCCCCTTTTCACATTACAGCCCTTAAAAACACTAAGAAACAATTATCATGTCACCTTAATTCATCCCTTCTACAGCCTAAACTTTCACAAGCCATCCAAATTATCTTTATATGGCATGCATTCAAAATCATTCATGAGCTTCATTGCCCTTTTCTGGATGCCCTCCACTTGATCAATGTCCTTCCAAAATTATATGGGAAAAAAAACTGGACAAAGTATCCAAGACATGGTTTAACCAATTATCATATTTTTATTCCTAGAATCTATAACTCCCTTCATGTAGCCTAAGATTACGTGAAATCTTTGCACATCATATTGCTGAATCATATTGAATTGTTAGCCTACTATGGACCCCAGTTCTTTGACAAACAAATAGACATTTAAATATTTCTCCAGATTTTTGTGGTCTTAAAATTGATTCTTTTAAGTGCTATGAAGGATTTTATATTTATCCTTATTAAATTTCATCATATTAGATTCAGACCATTGTCCTAACCTGTCATGATATTTTGGGATCATATTTTGGTCAAATTATAATTTAATGATCTATTCAAGTTCTGGTAACTTTAAATTTGAGGTGCATACCATCTATGTTTTTGTCTGAGGTATCAGTCAAGGCAAGTCACAAATTTGGATATTGATAACAAATACTTTGACAAAATTTAGGTACATTTTATCAACAGCTTTTCCCTGTGACTCATTGTAGAAAAATAGAGACAGAAAAGGATAATAAAAATAGACATTATAATTTTACTCTTTTGTGTGTGCCCTCATGTGAGATTTGTGAAAATGAGGACTTCTTTTTTCTGCTCAGATCTACAGGTTCTTGCATCCTCTTACTCTACACTGAAAAAGAATGGCTATAGGTAACCACTCCCTATTGAATGAGTTCATCCTCATAGGACTGACAGACCAGCCTGAGCTCCAGTTGCCCTTATTCCTCCTGCTTCTGGGTATCTACATAGTCGCTGTGCTTGGAAACCTGGGCATGATCATACTAATTAGACTCAGTTCTCATCTTCACACCCCCATGTACTATTTCCTCTGCAGTTTGTCCTTCATTGATCTCTTTCAATCAACTATCATCACCCCCAAAATGCTGGTGAACTTTGTGTCAGAGAAGAATACTATCTCCTACCTTGAGTGTATGACTCAGTTCTATTTTTTTGCCTTTTTTGGAGTTTCTGAATGTTACATGCTAGCTGTCATGGCGTATGACCGCTATGTCGCCATATGCCATCCCCTTCTTTATAGTCTTATGATGTCCCATCAGATGTGCTCCTGGTTGGTGGGTGGGGTGTATGCATTGGGCCTGGTGGAGGCCACAGCTGACATAGTATGCTTGTGTAAAGTGCTCTTCTGTAAGGAAAATACTATCAATCATTACTTCTGTGATCTCCTCCCACTCTTGAAGCTCTCTTGTTCTAGTACCTATGTCAATGAAGTGGTAATTATGTCATTTGGTGCATTTAATGTCTTTTTCCCTATCCTGATCATTATTTGCTCTTATGTTTTCATCATTGCCAGTATCTTACAAATTCAGTCCACTGAAGGGAGATCAAAAGCCTTCAGCACCTGCAGCTCCCATATTGTAGCAGTTGGTGTCTTCTTTGGCTCTTGTGCATTCATGTACCTGCAGCCATCTTCATCTAGCTCCATGGATCAGGGGAAAGTGTCTTCTGTCTTCTACACTATCATAGTGCCCATGCTAAACCCCTTCATCTACAGTCTGAGAAATAAGGATGTCAAAATTGCCTTCAACAAAGTGATAGAAAGAAAAACATTCTAATGAAAGGAGAAATGTCAGAATAATGGGTTTTTTGGATGCTGGATGATGTGGAGAGAGAGACAGACAGACAGACAGACAGATAGAGAGATAGAGAGAGAAACTATGCTTTGTACCAACCACATACTCTACCCCCAAACCTATAATTACTGAGAAGCCCAACTAAGAGATGCTTTAGGAATATTTTTTTAACCAGGGTTGGTTAGTATTCTCTTCTTATATTTGCCCTATTATTGAATGCTTCTTTAATTTACATTCCAGATTGTTAGACATAAAGGGATAATAGAATCCAATTCAATCATGGATTAAGCTGTTTCTGATATTGAAAGAGATGACTTTGCTAATTTAAACATGCAAGGGAATGCATTTTTCTGCATGTTCTTCTTAGGGGCAATCACTATTACAACTAGCAATTAAATCTACAAATTTTCACAAGATAAATGATACAGAGAATTTTGAGTGAGAAGATTCATAATTTTATAAATCTAACCTACTTATTTATCAGTTGAAGAAACTGTACCCCAAAAAGTATAAATGACTTGCCCAAAATCACAAAGTCAATAGCAGAATTAAGTCTTCAACCTACATTACTTGGATTTGTGTAATAGTTTGCCTAAGGTTTAAATTGAACGAGAGCAATGGTCTTACCATGATACCTTGAATAATAACAAGCACTATGCCTATAGGTTGAATGTTATTGGGAAGCACACTAATGGGAAGCTTGTGATATGCAGTGTTAGGATTAAAGAATCCCAGACTTAACCATTGGAATCAGTATAGCAACAGCATTCTAAGGACCAAATCCATTGGTGTGAGTACAACCTGAAGCAAAGGCAGCTACTAATATACTGAATAATTGCACACATGTCTAAATAAATATTGTAAGACAAAGGGACTTGAACCATTACCTGACGAAACAAAAATCTATCTGGATTCCCAAGAAAGCATGTAACTGGAGCACAAGCCAACTAGCCCAACAGAGGAATCACAATATTGAAAGAAAGAGTAAAAGAGAAACAGTAAAATTTATACCCTGCACGGCAGAAATAGTTTCCACTGCAGAAAAGCTTGAATCCACACTATTGTGACTTCCCAAAGAAGAACAACAGAAAAATTGATTGAAAAGACAAATGTAAGTGAAATGAAGAACAACCTGGAAGATTAAAACTGTAATTAAGTAAAAAAAAAAATCTCAAAGATACAAAGCAAAAAGCAATAAGGTAAAAAAAAGAACATATGATCTCTATACAAGCAAAACACAAATCCCCAAGACAGAATGCGTAGAGACAACTTACTGCTCATGGGCCTTCTAGAATAATACGACATCAAAAAACCTGAACACCATAATGCAAGATATGATGCAAGAATATAACTCAAAATTTATGTACACAGAAAATAGAACACCAAACAAAAGAATCCACAAGTCACCTCCTGAAAAAGAACAAAAAAAAAGCCTATGCTACAAACTCTGACCATAATAGTTAAATTTAATAATTCCATTAACAATTAACAAATTGTACAACCACCTCAAAGAAAGATATGTTTTAATGTTACCCATTGATTTATCTGCTTTTAATCTCAGCTCTTAACTATTTTCTTCTTCCTGTGAACTTTGGTGGTTTTAGCCCTTTTTTCCTTATATCACCTAAACACTCACTTTCAGATTCCTTCCATTTTGATGTGGATCCATGTTCCTGTACATCAAAGGTATCTCAACCACCTTTCACATTGTGAAATTCATTGTTCAGTAGTTTTGATTCCTGCCCCAAGTGACTGCTGGGTGAACAGGACTGGCTCCAGCTAGTTGCCTTTCCTCCTGGACTGGTGAGGCCCTATTTTTGTTATAGCACCCTGTTCCTATTCCCTCTGTTTTTTAGTTCTGTAGCAAACTGCTGCTGCCCTAAGGAAAACATTCCCACCTCTCCACCCTATATACAATGTGTTGTCAAGACCTATTGATTTCCCCTTTACAACATCTCTCAAATATACCAACTGGTCTCCTCTGACACTGCCACCACTCTAGTGTAGGCCCTCATCACCTCACATCCAGATAATTACAGTAGCCTGCTCGGGGTGGGGGGGTCTCCCTGCCTCAAATGTCTCCTCACCCTAATCTAACCTCCATTCAGTCACTAACCTGACTTTCCAAAAATACAGGTTCAAACATGGTATCCACCTACTCAAAACATTTCAAGAGTTCCCTACTGCCTCCACAATCAAATACGAAATTATCTGTTTGACCTTCAAAGTCCTTCATAACCTCCTACTTTTCTAGTCTTCTTACACCTTACTCCCCAACACATACACCTCTATCCAATGACACTGGCCTCCTGGCTGTTCTTTGAACATGACTCGCCATCTCTCAGCTCTAGGAGTTTTCTCTTGCTGTCCACCATGTGTGAAATACTCTCCCTCCTTCCCTCTTACTACTGATTTCTATGAGTTCAAGTCCCAACTAAAATCTCACCTTTTACAGGAAACTTTCCATAACCTCTTTTAATTCCAGTGCTTTTCCTCTATTAATTATTCTTTATTCATCCTGTACACAGTACAGCTTGCTCTGTGTGTGTGTGTGTGTGTTTGTGTGTGTGTATAAAATGCTTGTCTCCCTCATTACATTGTAAGTTCCTAGAGGACAGAGACTATCTTTTGCCTCCTTTTTTATCTCTAGCTTTTAACACAATGCCTTGCACAATGTAGGCATTTCATACATGTTTATTGATTGATTGATTGTTCCCAGAGCACAAATTGGTGAGTCAGGTTATGCCCCCTGTCACAGCATGGGGGTGCTTTGTGAGGAAAGAAAGCAGGGATGAATACTATCTTCTCTTAATTTTTAAAACTGTTATGTTTTAGGATTCTTGATGGATTGTCCTACAGAGGCAGCCATGATCACCCTACTTTTGGTACATTATTGCTCTTTTTTGGAGATTTTGAGATTTAACGAGGTCTGGAGAAAATGTCTAGTCCTCTATCTTATTGAGCTAGCATGCTGTTGCAACACATCAGGTTTTAAGCTTGAAGATAATAGAGCATTTCCCTCTTTAGAAAAGAAAAAAACAACCTTACTATAAATGATAGTTCTATAGAAGGGGAGAAAGAGGATATGAGAAAAATCTAGGCAATATGAAAACAAAAGATATCAATAAAAAAGTTTTTAAAGAAAAAAATCAAATAGCAAGAAATCTGTTTGTCCATGCAAACACCTGATGCCCTGGCACCAACTACAGTTATCGAAGAGAAGCCCACTCCACAGCTGCTTTGGGGACAGCTCTGTCTAGAATTAAGGAGTAGCACGCAACCTTGGATTAACTTTCTACTGTTTTTGATAATATAAAAAATCCACATAGCAATGAAGTTTGCCTTGATGCCCCACAGAACAGAGAAGATTGCTGAGCCTAGCAGACAGATCTCCCCTAACAAGTGAGTTGCTTGCTTCAGATACACAATTGCACCAGGTAAATTATACAGAAGATATTACTCATACAAGGAAGCTAAAAATCTGTGACTCCATTCTGCTTGTTTTGCAGATAAGGAAACTATAGCCCAAAAAGAAGATATTATTTGCCCAAGGTCACACAGTTAGGCAATAGTAAAACTAAACCTTGAACCCAGATCTCTTGACTCTGAGTCAGCTTTTTTATCCACTGCACTGGGGAACAATCCATGAAAATATTTTAATGAAGAAACATGCAAACCTCATAATTAAAACATTAAATGTGAGGGAATGTGTCAAAAATGTTTTTAAGGAGTTGTCCTACCACCTCACAACCATATGTGACTAAGTTCCTTAATTCTTTTCAGATAAATTCTTATAGTGAGGGAGGAGTGTATGGATCCTGGCTTTGTGAGTTTCTAGTGTAAGCAGACAGTGTTTTTCTTCCCAATTTGGTAGGGAAGATCATTCAATACTTTCCAACTGGCTGCTCTTCTGGACTTCAAAATCTCTAAAAATTCATCATGCAAGATGAAATCAACCCTGTAATTCACAACTGCTTAAATCATTTCTTACCATGGCTACTGAACTTCATCGTGTCGCTTCCTTTTCCCCCTTCTCTCCTTTTTCAATTTTTTATGTGCTATCTTCCCCCATTGGATTGTGAGCTCTTTGAGGGTACATACTGGCATACACATTTCTTTGTAACCCCCCCCAAAAGAGTTCAGCAAAGTGCCTTACACATAATAGGCACTTAATTAGTGTTTATTGACTATTAAATATTGAGGTAGTAAGAGTCTCAGTGAGCTCTGAGGTAGGCACTGCCTCAGGAGGTGTCAGCTGTGGGACCAAGTATGTGACAAATGCAGGATGGCTGTCCCATCTTCAGAAGTGGTTGGATCTGGCACTAGTGTTGGTTTTTGTGTAAGCAAGGCAATGGAATGGCAGCTGGAGTGGGAGATTTGATACAAGGGAGCTGAGTGTGGAGGCTCAGCAGCCTGTGGGGCTGCTACCTCAGCTCTTGGCTCTGCCACTGGCTCTGCTTTCAGGGGCCAAAATTGGAGCATGAAAGCTGACTTCACATTTGGAAGGATAGACTATAGACTTTGAAGCATGGAATCAACCTTCTTTCTCCCTCCTCTCTGCCTGAGGGGGCAGTGGATACCTCCAAAGCTTGTTTTGTTTTGGAATTAACTGTCCCAATTTCCCTATAAGTAATTTGAAATTTTTTATTGCCTAGATAAATCTGATTGTTCTACCTGCTGTGCATTGATGTCTAATTTGTAGACTTAGAGAGTGGTTGAACAAATTATGATACATGATTGTAAGGTGATATTATAATACTCTATTGATAGATTAATATTTGAAAATTAGGGAAATGTCATGAGAGCATAAAATTGATATCTCAAAAGTATAGCTTTAGTAGAACTATTCAATAGAATATTATTGCTAAGAAATTAACCACAAACCATAGATTAAGTTTCATTGCATGTGTGTTTACAGAAAGGTGGAGAAAACAATTAGTATATTACAAATTCTGTTTGTTCTAAGACTGTAACAAGTTACT